CCATAAGGGTAATACTAATCAAATGCGGTTTGAAGCCATAAAAACAAACGCGAGTACGAGACCCACGAATAACAAACGTGAGAACGGAGCTCATGAAAATCAAACTAGTTAGTCATTTATCATGGTATGCCAAGGGCTAACGAAACTGTTGTTAGCAACCAGTGTTTTGTATAAAGTTCCCTTCAAATCTATTTTCAAACATGCAAGAAAATCATCATTTTTAAAATAAAATTTTTATTTTTGATGTCAAACTTGCATGAATAGCTTTTCTGTAGCAATTCAATAATTTCTAGAATGAAATCTCATAATTAGAATCCAAACTTATATTTATTGATTAACTAAAATAATCAATTCTGGTAAAATAATTTCACAAATTAAAGTAATTTAATCAACAAAATATCTAATAATCACATTGTTGTTGTAAAAAGAATTTGCATAAAAATGTAATATTTTAATTAAGGAAGTTTTATTGAAATATCAATTAAGATGCTATCCACTTACTTGTAATACCCTCAAAGCTCAAAACTTATTTCTTACCACTCCATTTGAGCTATCCTTCTTACGATCACCCTATAAGATAATAAAATCTTAATGAATTTTATTTTTGAACCCTTGAATCCTTTTTTTGTCAAAAGAATCAGTTGAGTAGAACTAATAATAATAATTTTAAAATTTTAGCAACAAAATTCACATATAAAGGTTTCTTCCTAGGCTTTTTACCAACCACACATATATTTGCGACATTTCAAACCATTCAATAAAACATACAACATTTAATTCTCTTGCCCAACCATTTTCAACCATTTAAGTGTGACTTCTAAAACAATAATATACTTTATAAATTATAAATCATATAATCCTCAATAATCCAAAGTTGAGATATGATCTTCATAAATTCTTAAATAAACTCCTCTACAGAACCCAGTTTAAATTTACAAATACCAATACCTAATCCAAATCATATTTCTTGAAAAATCAACAATATTATATATACAAAATTAAACAAAATCCTCCTAATAAGCCTTTTATCCAACATCTTGCGAGCATGAATCCTTTAACTAAAACCAAACTTCCTTTTCTACCAATTTCATTTTCCCAAATTTTCTAACGTTCATATTTGAAATAATTTAGCCTTCCAAATTCTAGCCCTTCAACCATAATTAAATTTAAACACCCAAAGAAAATTTCCAACACTACACTACTTACGGTTAGTAGAAAAATAGATAACAAATTCACAATATCAATCCACAGTACACATATCCAGCAACAGAAAAAAATAGAATTTGAAACACCTACCTCAAATCAACGAAGTTAGTAGCAGGATGAGGAAATTTGCTGAGCAAAAATGGAGAATGAAATCGACACACCCACAACCACCTAGACTTGAACACCATGGCAACATTTGAATCAAGAAGAAGCAGGGGAAACCATCGCACGGACAAAGAAGAGCAGGGTAAGGACGATGATGATGGCACCTAAACCTCTTGCAGTGGTAGACAAAGCTCTCTCTTCGTCATGCGCACACCAGCAAGGTTTGGTGACCATCGAAGAAGGCAAAGAAGGCAAAGGGAAAGGTCGGTCGAAGTGCTCTCTCTCCCCCCTCTCACGACAGCTCTGGAGAATTCTGGCAAGGAGACAAGATGGAGATAGGGAAAACAACAGTTGAAAGTTATTCACAGTCGCCGGCGACGCTGAGGAGGATGAAGGCGAAGATCAATGGATGGAGGGTGAGGATTTCGGACGCTGCTCTCTCTGAATCTCTCTAGAACTCCCCATTTGATCGAAGGTATAGAACGCACACACGATTTTTCTGATCCCCCCTTTCTCTATTATTATTTATTTTATTCTTTTTTCAGGGGCAAGATTGTAATTTCGAGCAAAGAAGGTGAAAATAAAAATCTCCGTTAATACATAATGGGGATTCGAACACAAGACCCAAATAACAAGGATCAATAGAAGTTTCATTGAGCCACTAATGCATGTAGTTATCCTCTCTCCCAAGAATTGATGAAAATACAATAAATTTATCTTACTATTTAATCTAATTTTATAATTGTAATATGGGTTATTACATAAGGCTTGCTTGAGAACGGATGTGGTTCCACATTTGTGGATGTGGAAGATTTATCATGTCATATTATTGTGAAATAAATTTTAAAAAGTTTATGGTGATAATTTGATAATGTATAGAAGCACAAAAGACTCTTTACTTGTCCTTAGAAAACTAGTTGGAATGGAATTTATTTCAAGAAAAATTTTAGGATCGTATTTGAACACATTATCTTTGGAGTTTTAGTGGTGTTCACATTTAATTTAGATTATTGAGATTTCTTTGTTATTTTTCTTATTTATAAATTTTTTAAAAAATATAGTGCCTAATAAATATAAGTTTTAAGCAGCAATTTTTCATTGCAAATACATACGATATTCAAAAAAGATAATACATGCTATTGAACATTTGTTTCTTCTTATTTTAGCCAGATAAGCTGAAAATTCTTAAAGAATAATACATTTTCAGTTATATGAATACCTCAGCCAACCATAATCCATAAATAGCCCTAAATATAGTACAGAGAATCTGCACACTTGAGAAATTAGAAATTTTCACGCATGCAACTGAACTATTATTTGGGAAAAAGGGCATTCATCGATATGCAACGTACATTCTGGGCCTAGTAAAATTATAAAATTATTATGATACCATGTGGAGATCGCAAATAGGCACTATTGAAATTAATAGACATAATCTCTGTCACTATTTTAAGACATTATCTTCAGCAAGCAGTTAGCTGGTCAACATAACCTAGAATATGGTTTACATAGGGCTGTTCGTCTAGCCCAGGCTGGAAAAAAAAATTTACCCAGCCCCACCTGAAAATAGAGCCCAAAAGAATTTGGACATGTTTGAGCTGGGTTGAACATCAAGCAATGTATATTCCCTACCCATTTGGCCCAGCCCAAGGTTGTGTGTGCATATTTTATTTTCACATGCAATATGCGCCTCCATCTTTTAGGAATTGAGAAGGGATTTAATTTTTATTTCCGACTAGATTATGCCCCTGTGCGACGCACAGGAACACGTTAGTGTTACTGATTTTTTTTTTAAAAAATGTTACTGTTTTTTTCACTGTAGAACAAACAATAATAAAAGATTAAGTTTTACAAAAGAAAAGATTTATGCTATAAATTACTAGTGTGCTATAGAATCTTCATATTTTTATTGATAAAAATAATGAGTTTCTTGCATTTGTTTAAAACGCTATCATGATGGGGTAATTTAAATTATGTGCTCTTATAGTTTTTTTAATTTTAAATTAGATTTCTAGAATTTATTTTATTTTAATTCAACCTTTATAGTTTGATTCATTATATTTGTTAACTAATAATTTTATAAAAAAATAAAGTCGAGAACTTTCATATCATCATGAGCACAATAGCAACACCATTTGGGAAGGACGGCCCAATTTTGCCCAACCCAAAATTAAATGCTTGGGTATCCCACAAGCAAGAACGTTCCTCCTTTGGGCTAAGCATCAGGCAAGGGCCAATCTTACCCTTGCATGTACTATATATACATTATATCAGTAGCACAAACTTTATACTTTCTCTTGTCCCTATTTTAAGATGATTTTAAAGATTACATTATTGGAACTAGGAATTGTTAAAATATTTATTTATAGATTAACATTAATTAATAAATTCAAGCAGATTGGTCTTTATAATCTTGTGTGGACTGTGATAGGTGAACTATATAAGTAAGCTCAATGAGCAGAGGCCTAACTCACAACCCAATAGTTATCAATTATTTCCTATCTCTTAACTGACTAAGTCAGAGATAATGAATATAATTATTTAATTAATAAAATGAAGCGATTACTGATCTGATTTTTATTACTCGATCAGTTGATAACCACAAAACACATGATACATTTTTTTCTGATCTATTATCTCTATTTGCTCTGAAGACTCTGAAAACCAGTGGGTTGTGCGTCTCTTTACACTTGAGATAATCGAGCTTTCTCAAGTGATCAATGGATTTTTAGATCCGCACATGTTTCTTTATTCTATCTTATTAGAACATATAAGAATTGAGATATTAGATTTAACAGGAATGACGTAGTTAATTTATTAAATGTCTTAAAATGAAATTTTTTTAACTTTACCCGTATTAGAAATAAGAAGAGAGATATACACAATATACAATGTGCCATAAAATTAAATCTATAATAGGAATAAAATTATAAAATTATAAAAAATAACCTTCAATGTGCCTTGTAATAAATAACCAAGCACATTGGATACCAATAGGCTACTGGTGGCTGAGAGAAAGTGAGCAGCACCTTGCCAAGATCCTTGTTATTTTTGCCCTCAGTGTTCGTTTAGGATTTATAAGTACCTAAGCTCGATTTTGGATCAAAACGCCCCAGCTGAAACGTTTAAAAATGCATCACTGATATACACGCGTGGCACTCCACATGGCATCCAAATAATGGACATCCAATCAGAAATTAATAAAATTACACTTCAAAAACTTAAATTATCCAAGAAGATGTCCAATCACTAATTTAAATTAATGTTTTGCCTATGACTCGACACAGGATATACATAGTTAGATTAACCCAAAATCAAGTTCAAGTATATATCCCTAAGCGAAAACTTAAAATAAACAAGTGACCTTTAATTGACTGGACATCCAACATGAATGCCACATGGAGTCCAGGAAAAAATAAATAGGTTTTTAATTTTTTTTTCAATGATGTTAAATTTAATGTGTAAATAAGACATGAATAGGTTTTCTTCGTTTATCTTTTTTGAACATCATGCCTGCACTTTGGATTTTCATCAAAAGCAACAATAAGCTTTACAAATTTTCTTACTATAAAATCAACCCTTATCCATCATAAAAGGCAACGACGAAAAATAAAATCGAGAAGTCATGGACTACGTAGCCCATAACTCCCAACAAAAGACACGAGATCACCCAGCATCATGCATACATATCAGTTCTCATTTTTTGAACCGTTCGGCTTCGCAAAATTTTGTAATCTGGCATTCAATGATCACAGTATCATTCCAATAGTAACCCTTCGTTTTAACTGCAATAAGGAACACCCAGACCAACTAAAAATTAACTTCTTGAAAATTAAATGTAAAAGACTTATTATCCCTAACACATACTGTGCAGTATCATTCGAAATATGCACACATCATAACAATAAGCTATCTAAATCATAAACTTCAGTGACGTACACAAATTGACGTACCGCTCCCTTGATTCCTTAACCATGGTTATCGTTGATTCTTAATGCTTAAAGTGAACTCGACATACCGTTTCTTTGATGTCGTGCTTTCATCTTCATTCAAAATGAGAAAAATGGACAGACACTCTTTGATCCTACTGCCGTTTGCATGAAGTCTCAAATTCCTTAAAAACACGACACGAACGTTTGAATAATTAGCATCACAAATATCTAATGATTTAAAAAGAAGAAGAAGAAGAAGAAGCAGAAAATGAAATCACATCGCCACCATTTTGTTCCTTCAACAATGAATGATTCAGAGTCACAATATTTCTTTCCGATTTTGGAGAAGTTACATAACTTCCATGCATATGTACCAAATGATGGATCCTTAATCGCTGGGGAAACACATTCCCAATTCCCACAATATTCGTATACGAAGATTTCTGCTCCAAATGCACATGAATCATCAACAAGATATCCATTGGTGACATCTTCGAATGTATCCGTAGGAAGCAGTTCATCAAATCCCTGCTGTGTCTTTGCTACATGATATCGTTTCAACCGCTTTCTCTTCATCTGAAAATGAACAAAATTTCGTCAACGTTAATTAAAAATATGATACATTAATCTATACATTGAAAATTTGAAATTTCAATTGTTCATGGAACTTGGAGAGGCGCTCCTCACTGAACTAGCGTGAATTGGTTTTGACATCATCAATACATGCATATAACGTATCGTACACACACATATATTCAATAATTCATATATATATGTAAGTGAAGAAAATTGTAATAATACCTTGAATGACGAAGTACTTAACATGGATCTGATCATAAACCAAAAATTTGAAATGAACAAAGACTTCCCAACCAGCAGGGAGATCCTCCGTTTTTGCAATTGCTACATATAGAGAGATACGCCAATCACTATTGGCTTCTTTCTTTCCACGAAGATGCAAGATCATCTTCCTGCAGATGAAAAAAGAGATGGAGATTAATATATATTCTAAACGAAATAATATAATTGTACACCCAGTGACAGACAATTCACCAGTTGTGGCCAATGACTTCAAACACGTGAGATTCATAGATTTCAAGCTCAGCCAGTGATGAATATGACTTTATCTAAATCAAATAGTGCGTTGGTCCATGCTGTCTATCATATCGGATGAGACCTCCACAAACGTTGTAAGGAATTAGTTAATTATAAGTATCATATTCACGTATCGAATGAGACTTTATCTTATTGTTGCTTACTAATTGTTGTTATACGTACCAGCGTTAGTGTCTGCCATGATGGACGTATCTGTTTCCTATTCTTCGCAATTTGCATGAAGACTCGTGAAATAATAATTGTAAAATAATAAATCATCTTCGTATCTGTCAAATTGAATTACTATAGCATATATAATTGTAAAATAATAAATCATCCTTAATCAAACAAAATAGGAAAAAAATACTTAACTTTTCATGGCCAATCACAATCATCATCATCATCTATCCAAAACAAACATGGTTGTGAAATAATTAGTCATCTTTATTAAAACCGAAAGTGAAAAACTTAGTTAAATTTTCTCGGCCAAATATTAATTTTTTTTCCCGGGCAAAAAAATCATAGTTAAAACTTGAGTGATAAAGAAGTGTAGAAAGCAAAATGTTTCAACCAGATTAGTATTATTTTTTTAAAAATTATCTCAAAGATTTATATATAACTAATAATTGTTTATTTAATCTATTAATATACTAATATGTGTGTGTGTGTGTGTAAGTAGATTATGACTAGGATACCTAACGGCCTCGTTTGATTTGGCTGGAATATGAGAGAAGGAAAATGCCAGAATGGAAAAGGCTAAATTCCTGCGTTTGGTTCACTTAAAATTTCCTTCAGTATAATTGATTTACCGACAAGAACCTGAAATTTAAATTCTTTAGCCAGACCCAAGGAAAATATATTTTTTCCTGAGACTTTTTAAAATCCCAACAATAACATCGTCCGCCCACCACTCATTTCCATTAAAAAAATTATATTCTTGAGAAAACATTACTAATTCCTTAAGCACAAATTTCGTCTCCACTAACCAATTTATTTTAGGTGTGGCAAAAAAAAAAAAACTAATTTATTTTAGATCTGTCACTGAATACTTCAGAAGTTTTAAGATTTTTTTTTTTTTTTAAGCGTATGGAATAGACACCACCAACTTTCTCGAAATACTGAGAACAATAAATAGATGTGTGTAAATCTTAATTAAATGATGAGAGCTTCTGTCACTAACACCAATTTTAATTGGTAAATTTTTAAGATTTATAACCCATGACGATTTAACTCCATCATAGTGAAGATGTGTGTAAACTAGTCGTAGTATTCCCTCCACATCTTTTCATTAAAGACATTTAGCAATTTAAATTTTATTCTTCCAAAGTAACATTTTTTAACAATTTTGTGTGTAAACTCAAAACTGTGTGTTTGAATTAGATATTAAAATTTAAATAAATTAGTATGCATTTTTAAAATTAAAAGTCAAAGTCAATTAAACAAACACATAATCAACATTATCCATTAAATAAGATTATGATTATATAAATAAATTATTATAACATTATAATAAAAAAATTATCCAGGAAATAATGCCATTCTGTACTGAAGCAATATTTGTATATCTTCCATTAATTAAATACTCCCCCCGTTCAAAAATGTAAGACATTTTTTAAGAAATTAAATGTTAAAAAATATAAGATATTTTTAGTCTTTCGATGTGTAATCATTGCTTTTTTTTTTTTTCAAATGTGTCTCTATTAATAATGACTTTATATTTATTGTCAGATGTTTAATAGGGGTAAATATTTCAAGATAGGGTTAGTTTGAAAGTAGGTAACTACTTTATTGAGGGTGAGATTCGGTTAAAAATGCCTTACATTTTTTAACTGAGAGAGTATCTCATTGATTGAAGTTTCAAAACAAATATTTAACTTCACTAACGAGCACAACATGTGCACAAAATCCAGAACTATGAACTTTAATTTACTACTACTTTACCCAAAAGAAGTGGGAGTGTTCATTATAATCAAACACAACAGTTTTGTCAGTGTTTGAAATGCTCAACTTCACTAAGAAAAGTAATCTGGCATTCCATAATCAGAGCATCTTCATTAAGATCCTTCAACGTCATGAATTGAATGAATCCCCATTTATTTGTCACGTGACTGAACCATGATGCACCTGCAACATCCAAAACAACCTATTAATATTAATGCTCAAAAAAAAATTGAATGATCACTACAAATATAAATATAAACATTTGTGTCGTAAAGATGTCGAAAAGTACCATTCAATTCCCGAGTTCTCGATGGTACAGATTGATTCTTAAGGCGTAATGTGTACTCGGCGAACCATTTCTTTCTTGCCATCGAGCTTTCATCTTCATTCAAGACAAAAAATATGGACAGAAACTCATTTTTGGGAGACCTATCACCTCTGGGATAAACTCTCAGCTTACTTAATTACAAATTAAACACAAAACAGAACATTAGCATTAAAAAATTTATGAAGATTCAGGGGGTAAAAACTAAGAAAAATGATTTTTTTTTTTTACCATGTTTTGCCTTTAATAGAGAATGCTTCGAAATCACAAAATGCCTCCACAATCTACGAGTATTTAGACAAATTCCATGTATATGAATCCTTAAATTTGTCATCCAGTGTTGAAAGACATTCCTAATTTCTAGAACACTGAACAACAAAGACCCCAGCTCCAAATACACAAGAATCGTGAACTAGATATCCATTAGCAACATCTTTGAATGTATCCATAGGAAGCAGATCATCAAAACCTCACTGTGTCTTCCCCACATGAAAATGTTTCAACTCATTCTCTACATCTGCAATAATTCAAGGGGGAATCAAGAATTGTTAAGCACAAGGTTGCACTTGATTACCATCCTCAAATTAACGGGCAAGTTGAGATTTCTAATCGAGAAATCAAGAAGATACTTGAGAAGATGGTAGGAGTGACAAGAAATGATTAGTCCACCAAACTTGACAATGCATTGTGCACTTATTGAATGGCTTACAAAACTCCTATTGGAATGTCTCCATACTGATTAGTTTTTGAAAAAGCATGTCATCTCCCCGTAGAGCTGGAACATGGTGCCTATTGGACTATCCAAAAGCTCAACTTTGATTTTAAGGTTGTGGGTGAAAAGAGACTTCTCCAACTGAATGAACTTGATGAATTGTGGTTCAATGCTTATGAAAATGCTAGACAATACAAGGAAAAGATAAAGAGATGGCATGACAACAAAATTTTATGCAAAACATTTGAACCAAGCTAAAAAGTACTTTTATACAACTCTAGATTGAGGTTATTTCCTAGCAAACTCAAGTCTAGATGATCAACACCATTCACTGTAGTCTAAGCTTTCAATCATGGTGCCGTTGAGCTAGAGAGCATTGAATGAGAAAGATTTAAAGTCAATGGGCAATGATTAAAGCATTACTGGGGTGGTGAGGTAGACTGTGAAGCAATCACCTTGCCCTTATCTGATGCCTCTTTAAAAAGAGAAGAGTCAGGCTGAATGATTATAAAACAAGCACTACTTGGGAGGCAACCCAAGCTCTAAACCTTCTCTTTTGATTTTTCCTTTGTAGTTTAGTTGTTTTGGTAAAGTTATATATGATCTTGTGTCTTTTATAGGTTAACATGAAGATATATATGAGGAAGTGTGAGCCTTTGAAAAAAAACAAGAAATGTGGCCAAAGATTAAAAGAATCTAAGAGGAGGGAAAATTTCAGGGAAGTCAAGCTACTTTAGTTTCTTTTATGATTATAAACTTGTCTTGGCAATTATTTTGAGCTTATTGAAGTGAATGCAAATTTTTTATGGTTTGATTTCCATGAAAAATGGTTCTTTTTTAGGGTTGATTGTATTTTAATTGAAGGAAATTATGTATGATTGATGAATGATGGTTAGAGATTGATTTTAGAGTGAATATAATGCTTGGAAGAGGTTTCAAGGGGTAAACAAATCAGATTTTTAAAAACAGAGTGCTGCAGAATTTTGCTGTCAAGAAAGTTCTGACAAAAGTCATGACTTTGGGCTCACGACTTTGAGATTTTAGAGAAAGTAAAATTTGTGACTTTCATTTTAGGCTTAAACCTAAAGTCGTGACTTTCATCTTCTCTGGACTTGTTTTTTTTTATAAAAAAATTTGGGTTTTCTTTTTCAATATATATATATATATGTAATAATAATAATAATTTTTCTTTTCTTCCCCTTATGTGCTATGTTTTACAGTATTTAAATATATATATATATATATATAATATTAATAATAATTTTTTTCTCTTCCCCTAATGTGCTAAGTCTTGCAGTTTAAAAAAAATTATTTTTGACCCAAATTTAAAAACCCTCAGCTCCTTTTATTATTTTCCATTTCATTACCTCACCCGCACTCTGCCTCTTATCTCGCTCCACCGCCATCCGCCGGCCTCTTTACATCTACTTGCCTTTGCCGTCGACCTCCATTTCTTCTCATTCACTTCATTATTCACCATTAACACCCACGCAGCCCCTTATTTCTCATTCCCTGTGTAGCCACTGCTTCCTCCCTCACTCCATCATTTCTGTTCAAGCTACCGTCACGTTTTCTGATTCTCATCGATTCGTCCTTGTTTCTTCTTCACAAGCTTCAATCTTAGCTCTTCCTAGATCATCACTGTCAACTACTTTCTCTGGTCCAGTCACTCAAAAGCATCTCATTTCACTGCCATTTCCATTGGAGCTACACTATTCACCACAGCTTTCTAGCCGTAGCCCCTGCCGCTGCTACTGCTTCTTCCTCTCTACCATAGCTAATCGTGGAGCTCTAGGGTGCTTCTGCTGTTGTGAGTCTCATCTTACTCGATCTCCCTTAGTGTTTTCTTCATTCTTGCTTTCAGCCACAGTTCATCATCATCATCTTCACCATTGTCCTGCTTGCAGCCACAAGCCTGCTCCTTCGTTCATGATTTTCATTCTTGAGTAGGTCTTCACTATCATCTCTTCCCTTCTTAAACGCATTTATGCTTTGTTTGTAAATCACAAGCTGAAATGTGCACTATTTTTTTCAAGATTCAAGTGCCTTGAATCTTGTCATTGCCCAACTGCTATTATGTGCATTATGCTGTTATGAATTTCAAATCTCCTTTCATTGCTAAGTAAAGCTCTGATTATTGCTTTGGCTGGGTCTAAAATTACTCTCATAATTTCTGCTATAAAGCTCATTGTTCGAGTTTCTTCACCCCTATCCTTATCGTCTTCTCACTTCATAATCCTGCATTTGTTATCTCTTTGCGCT